GAGAATATGATGTTGTTTATACACAAGCTGCAGCATTCTGGATCGACTGATGAGTCTTGGGTTTTTTGGGGGGCGGCCTGATAAAAGGAATTACATTAATCCAGCATTGAAGTATCAAATACTTGTTTTTCTTTTTACAAGATAAGAGATAAGTCCTTCGTCTGATGCAATTAGTAAGCTGTTGTAGTCGTCTGTATTATTGAAAGTGATCTCATTAATAAATGAATGAACTGATATTGAAACAGTAGCCCTCTGCTGGCGTTGTTAATTAGTCTTTCTAATGATGGTTAAATCCATCAATTAAGTTTCATGAAAATAATGAACAGTCCAATCATTCACTTCATCCGGGGGCCTGAGCCAAGCGATGGACATAAAAACTGCAACTCAATACTTATGTAATACTTAAAGTAATACAGGGCTTTGTCTGTTTCTTTCTGCACTGACTTGTAAAGAAGTCTATACGAAAATGACCGTACATCTCACTTGATTTATTACTTCAGTTCATTACAACATTTTCCTATCATGTTCATGGTTTCAATCACTAGTTTCAAGTCGTCTTCTGTTGCTACAAGATTGCTCCTTTGTCTTTGTGTTGTCTTTTCACAGCTTTAACCCTTACTCAGTCAGTGAGCTTTCTGGTAGTTGATTTCAAATCATTTCGTTTTTTCATCGTTCAGTTGTACTTGCAATCACCCTCTCATGTCACTTGCACTAAAAAGCATGATTATGGCGAAGAACCAAGAAAGCAAACGCCAAAAGTCTTCAGTGGAGGAGTTGAAGAAGTAGGCCTGGGTTCTAGTTTGTACATGGTGGCTTTTTGGTGCGTCAGTTCTTAATACATAGCACACAAAGACAAGATAATGGCCAAACGAGGATTACCTGAACGCACAGATTGTTTTGTTACTTCAATGATTCAAGCAGCAGGAGCTCATAATAGAGGTTCTTTATCCGTAGTAATTGCATTTCACTCCTCTGAAGGAAACACCTTCACAGGATGCTTTGTTTAATCAGAATCAGAACTCCTTTACAAGTCCCACAGCGGGGAAATGAACTGCAAAAAGTGGGTAAAAGAAAGCCATGCAGTAATAAAGAATACGCTAATTTATTAAATATAGGGAAGAAAAGCACATATTAGTGATAATAGAAAGCAAATAAGGAGAAATAAGTACACATCTTGACTATGGCTACACATTTGGTGATTTTTGTATTGCAAGAAGTGTCCATATTGCAGGTTTTTTGCCCATTGCACAACAGAACCTACATCTGATCAGAGGTGGGAAGTAGTGGAGTACAAATACTTCGTTACTGTACTTAAGTACATGTTTCTGGTATCAGTACTTTACTCCACTACTTATTTTTCTGACGACTTTTTACTTTTACTTCTTACATGTTGAACCCAAATACCTGTACTTTCTACTTCTTACATGTTGAACACAAATACCTGTACTTTCTACTTCTTACATGTTGAACACAAATACCTGTACTTTCTACTTCTTACATGTTGAACTCAAATACCTGTACTTTCTACTTCTTACATGTTGAACCCAAATACCTGTACTTTCTACTTCTTACATGTTGAACTCAAATACCTGTACTTTCTACTTCTTACATGTTGAACCCAAATACCTGTACTTTCTACTTCTTACATGTTGAACTCAAATACCTGTACTTTCTACTTCTTACATGTTGAACTCAAATACCTGTACTTTCTACTTCTTACATGTTGAACTCAAATACCTGTACTTTCTACTTCTTACATGTTGAACTCAAATACCTGTACTTTCTACTTCTTACATGTTGAACACAAATACCTGTACTTTCTAATTCTCACATGTTGAACTCAAATACCTGAACTTTGTACTTCTCTCATTTTCCAAACAGCTGGTTCCTTTAGTCTGAATGTGTGTTTGATGCGTGATCATTATTCTTTAGAGTCATTGCGTGCCTATTGATTTGAACACGATCCGTGTATCCATCATTTCCTGGTCTTCTCTAAAGAAGAGGGACCAATGGAAACGTTGTCATGTTGCCGTTGTTCAGCATGGAAACATTCATTAGCTAACAATGACATTATTGTTCTATTAATATAAAGGGAGGTCAGGTACTCTTTAAAGCAGCTGCTAGTTATGGGTACTTTTTACTGAAGTACACTTCAAAGCCCTCTTTACTTTGACTTGAGTAAAGAAGTTTAGTCAGTACTTCTACTTCTACCAGAGTATTTTTAAACACGAGTATCTGTACTTCTACTTGAGTAAAGGATGTGTGTACTGTTGCCCTCTCTGCATCTGATACGGGTCACAGCTGCTGTTGTAGTGGAACATTATGTGTACCGCTGTGCTTTCTTCCTCCTCTCTCTCCTCTGCAGCTCCACATCCTGAACGAGAGGGGATTTCCACTCCTGCAGGAAGAAGGACTGTTGCATGTTTTTTAGGAATGGTAGATCTAACATGAGTCGGAGTTCCCCTGCTCCTGGTGGCCCTCACATGAAGGAGGAGTGTAACGTATCTACTCATGCAATATTCAACACTTTCTTCCCGCATCTCAGAATCCATCTGCCTCAACGCTGAGTTCATCTTCAGGTCAGACAACAGCAAACACTCTGGCTGCTCAGTGGCACAGAGGAGCTGAAAAATGCACTATTTTACCCATCCTGTTGTCCCTGGGTCTAATTTGCCTCGTCGGGATAAAGGTTGTTTTTAATGTTAGTGCCAACATTTTATAAACATAAGATAGCATTTGTAGTCTTTTGGGGTCAATTTTGTAAAATAATTCAACATTTCTGCCTTTTTTTAACTCAGAAATTAGGCCTGGTTTTGTGTAAACGAGGTCTATTGACCATACAGTTAAAAGGGAAGAGTAAAACTTGTGGGTAATTATTTATACTTTGTGCTAACATGGGAAATGTCCATCTGTACATTTAGTAAATATAATATGAAGTTAATGCGTGGTGAGGTTACCACATAAAATATGAGAAAACTAAAATAGAAATAACTTAAATCAGGTTTGACAGGTCGATGTGTTCACAATATTATTTAATTAAAAACCAATTGCTATGATGTTTAAAGTTTGCCAAATTAAACTCAGTAGTTAACACTCATTAAAAAAATGCAATTTTGATATTTACCTTGTTTGAGAATTGAGAAGGAGCCGCGCAACCTGAAGAATTATTAATGCATGGTTTGACAATTTACAATGTTTATTCTACCTAAACTAAAACACTTAAAGGTCCCCTATTATACTGTTTATCATCAATATATCACAGGTCTCAGATATATACAGAACCTGTCTCTGATTGGCTGAAACACCAAACAGATCATTGCAGCATTACCCATAATCCCCTCTGTTTCAGCCCTGTTTCCAAAGTGCTGATTCTCTGTCTGTTACTTTAGATGAAAACAAGGAGCCCCTCCCCACGCCCCTCTGAGAGACATTTAGTTACAAAGAACTCAATGGAGCTCTAGGAGGAGATTCAGGTGATAAGGGGGGGGGGGGGGGGGGTTACCTTGGTTGCTGATTGGCTAATGGTGGTCAAAATCTGATCAGCTCATTTTCAGACAGGTTTTTATAGAAATGGATCAGGACAAAAAGAGAGAGAATCTTTGTTCCTGAAACTTTCAGAGTCTCTTTCCACAGAGGGGACACATGTTGATGAAGAAGAGACATGAAGAAGAGGGGACACATGTTGATGTAGAAGAGACAAGAAGAAGAGGGGACACATGTTGATGTAGAAGAGACAAGAAGAAGAGGGGACACATGTTGATGTAGAAGAGACATGAAGAAGAGGGGACACATGTTGATGTGGAAGAGACATGAAGAAGAGGGGACACATGTTGATGTAGAAGAGACATGAAGAAGAGGGGACACATGTTGATGTAGAAGAGACATGAAGAAGAGGGGACACATGTTGATGTAGAAGAGACATGAAGAAGAGGGGACACATGTTGATGTAGAAGAGACATGAAGAAGAGGGGACACATGTTGATGTAGAAGAGACATGAAGAAGAGGGGACACATGTTGATGTAGAAGAGACATGAAGAAGAGGGAACACATGTTGATGTAGAAGAGACATGAAGAAGAGGGGACACATGTTGATGTAGAAGAGACATGGAGAAGAGGGGACACATGTTGATGTAGAAGAGACATGAAGAAGAGGGGACACATGTTGATGTAGAAGAGACATGAAGAAGAGGGGACACGTGTTGATGTAGAAGAGACATGGAGAAGAGGGGACACGTGTTGATGTAGAAGAGACATGAAGAAGAGGGGACACGTGTTGATGTAGAAGAGACATGGAGAAGAGGGGACACATGTTGATGTAGAAGAGACATGAATAAGAGGGGACACATGTTGATGTAGAAGAGACATGAAGAAGAGGGGACACATGTTGATGTAGAAGAGACATGAAGAAGAGGGGACACATGTTGATGTGGAAGAGACATGAAGAAGAGGGGACACATGTTGATGTAGAAGAGACATGGAGAAGAGGGGACACATGTTGATGTGGAAGAGACATGAAGAAGAGGGGACACATGTTGATGTAGAAGAGACATGAAGAAGAGGGGACACATGTTGATGTGGAAGAGACATGAAGAAGAGGGGACACATGTTGATGTGGAAGAGACATGAAGAAGAGGGGACACATGTTGATGTAGAAGAGACATGGAGAAGAGGGGACACATGTTGATGTGGAAGAGACATGAAGAAGAGGGGACACATGTTGATGTGGAAGAGACATGAAGAAGAGGGGACACATGTTGATGTAGAAGAGACATGAAGAAGAGGGGACACATGTTGATGTAGAAGAGACATGAAGAAGAGGGGACACATGTTGATGAAGAAGAGACATGAAGAAGAGGGGACACATGTTGATGTAGAAGAGACATGAAGAAGAGGGAACACATGTTGATGTAGAAGAGACATGGAGAAGAGGGGACACTCTTTTTTTAAATTCTATATATTCCAACATTTTGTTTAAGAAATAAAAACTCGAACACAGATATTTCTTAGCAAATTATTTACGTGACTTACAAGTTGGGATGAAGTGGGCGATTCAAATACTGGAACATTTGCAACAAAATGAAAAAACATTTGGCCTTAAAAGCAAAACCAAGAAAGAATACCTAAAATTGAAGACGAAACAGTTTTCAAAAGATTTAAAAAGAAGTCACAAAGTCTTAATAAATCTTATTTCCATCACCTCACTCTGCTGATGAGGATCCACACTCTGAGGTAAAGTCAATCATCAATGAATAAACTCCAAATGAAAAGAAATCCCTCAAAAAAGGACCTGATTCAAACTCATCCACAACACACGCTGTATTATAGTTACCGAAGGCCCACGAGCTTTCATGACGTGCACATGTGAGAGTGTGTGTGTCATACTGTGGGGTGTGTGGTTGCTACGGTTGTATTTGCACGTGAGGATGCCAGAGGCGAGGAAAACTGTTGGGATTTTGGTTTTTCCACGGTGAGCATCAAGGTTTCCCCGGCTGGATGGACAGCAGGCTGCCGAACTTGAAGTGTTGGATCACAGGGAACTTCTCCAGACACTGCAGAGAGAGAGAAAACAGTGTTTAACCAACACACTGGGACATGGAGATCCTTCAAAATGGCCATAGCAACCAGTGGGACATTTGGTGAAGGGGTGGCTGATGATCTGGAATAAGGCACATTGGGAAGGAGGCATGATTTTAGCATTTGTTTTGCTCTGATAATGTTCGACAATGCTGCGTTTTGGTTTCTCCAGCAGGACAATGAAAGTGTGGACAGAAGACCACAAGACCCACCCTGTCATGGAGGGCCCAAAATCCAGAGCTGAACCCCTTTGGAAAGCTCAGGAATCATCTAGATAAATATGAGAGGTCACAGGAGATCAAACAAAGCAGAGCTGCTTGAATTTTGCTCAAAACAGCAATGTCAAACTTCAAACTCTGTCATCCATCTTCTTTGTTGAGCCAATGTTGGATCCACATTACGAATTCAATCTCTAAATAAAAATATCCTTTTTGTCCTTTTTTGTGGCTATTTATCAAAAGTACATAGTTCTAAAACCACTTATGGCGCTTTTCCACTGCAGGGCCTCGCACGGCTTAGTACGGTATAGTTAGGCCTCGGTAGGCCAGGCTCACTTTATGCTGCGTCTCCATTACAGTTTAGTTGCTGGGGCAGTAACTATAGTAACGCAGTGTAGGCGGAGCCGTGACGTCATCTTCAATGAGAACCACAAAACCAACATCAGCCGTTAGCTGTTAGCCCTCAGAGCTCACAGCTCCTCATATCTGTTCAGAAACTAGACAGAAGTTAAACAAGTACAAACCACAGACTGCCTGTGTCATGGCGAATACAGTCGCTGGTTTATTTATGTCTGTAGGCCGTTGTTGTGAGTGTGGACGGTCGGAGCATATACAACGTTAGTTTAGCCGATCTCCATTCAGAAAACACGCATTTTAAAAGCTTTTTCGCCTGCCGTCTGTCTGCAGACTCGTCAAAGCATAAATTCATGGTTTTTACTAACCGGTATCAGTATGTTGTTACTTCGGCATCATTTTGAAACGTGTATTACAATTAAATCACGGTCAAATATGTTCATTGTGTTGTAGTTGCCAGCGATTCTCTCACTAGTTTAGCATACTCAGCCCGGTTGTTGGCCCGGAAAGAAGATTTTGGAGAGCAAGAAAAACTGTGAAAAAGTACCCGTTAGCCAGAACTACGCCGAGTGGAAACGCAACCAAAAACGGGCCGGGGACGGCACGCTTAAACCGCGCTGTAGTGGAAATGCGCCATTAGTCTACAAGGTGAAGTCAAGCTCTCCAAACACCGTTAAAAAGACCCAATGTAGTCACAGATTTGAGGCTTTATTCAAGTAAAATACACAGTTTCCAAATCCATACGTCTCTTAGCGGTCCACTACAAACTTAAAGACACTTTTAATCTGGATGCAGTCAAATAAACACGAGTACCATCACACTAGCATTTACGTTGCATCGTCTTTGAGTGTTTTTTAGGCGTCTTTGAGCATTAGGAAAAGCGCAATAAAAATCCCATGCATCATTATTATTATTATCATCCTTATTTGAGCAGTTCTGGAAGTTGTGGCAGCATCTGATCCTGTTCAGGGAGTTTCCTTTGCTTTACGGTCAGTGACAGAACACGTCGTTGATGAAGTCCAAACAGAGTGACCTTGACAAACATCGTTAAAAAGACCCAGTGCAGTCACAGTGAGGGTTTCTTTTATGTAAATTACAGCTTCCAAATCCATACGTCTCTTAGCGGTCCACTACCAACTTAAAGACACACGAATACTATCACTCTATCATTTACGCTTTGTCCCTTAAATACATTCAATGAGTGGATTCAAGCGGTTGTGGAAGTGTCTGATCACATCGTTTCCTTTGCTCTATGGTTAGTGAAAGAACACGTCGTTGTCTTTCAGAGACACGTTGATGAAGTCCAAACCGAGTGACCTTGACCTGACTTCTCTTCTTCCCGCTGGCCTTTCATTGTGACCAGGTTTTAAAGGGCTATGCAGCGCAGGCGAGGCCCTTATTAGGGAGCCGACATGGACCCAGTTTTTGGGGAGTCGGAGGGGGGGGGTCTGTGGTGGGGGTTGGGAGAATTGAACTCTTGTGCTCGGTGTGTCTGCGCAGTGACACTATCAGTCATGATCATCGGGGCAGAACTGGGGTGGAAACACGCCTCAGAGAACAAATATATGAATCAATGAAAATATGTAAAATTGATCACAGACACACGCTTCATATTAAACATGCACAGGACATCATATATACTGGCAGTTAAAAGATAACACTAGCTTATTAACAAAGATTTAATCAACATTGCTGTATTTTTTATGGTATGTTATAACAAACCAATTGTTGGGCTGATTCTGACCATATTCCTAATCTTTCTTACTGTCCACAAATTCCTTGACCATACCCAAACCAATAGTGGATGAAGCTTTCTACGAGTGTGTGTGTGTGTGTGTGTGTGTGTGTGTGTGTGTGTGTGTGTGTGTGTGTGTGTGTGTGTGTGTGTGTGTGTGTGTGTGTGTGTGTGTGTGTGTGTGTGTTAGTTATGACCTTTCTTCAATTAAGTGGTTCATTAACTTCTCTCTAGTATCAGAATGTACTTGTCGTCTTACAACTAGCTGTGTGTGTGTGTGTGTGTGTGTGTGTGTGTGTGTGTGTGTGTGTGTGTGTGTGTGTGTGCGTGCGTGTGCGTGTGTGTGTGTGTGTGTGTGTGTGTGTGTCAAAGACTGATATATCGTTTTTTTTATCTTTTCCTTTTGCCATAGTGTCCAAAAACGTGTTCTTTTTAAATCTAAAACACATCCGTGAGCCTTACGCAGCGTCCACACGGCAGCGTGCGTTGAAGCTTGCCGGTGGGCGTGTCTGAAGCTCGACCAACAACCAATCACATGAATCTCCCGCCCCGGACAAACAAGCACGCGGTTTGATTGGCTAGAGCTTGTACTGGCATATGATTTGATTGGCTGACGCTTCCGTCGAAGCTTCAAAAGTTTAACTTTTCTCAACTTTTGAAGCGAGCAACGCAGCCCGGCAAAGCGTGACGTCACCCCATTCAAAGTGAATGGGAAGAAGCATTGAAGCTTCAACGCACACCGCCGTGTGGACGGGCCGTTGCTGATGCACTTTAACCTTGAGAAGAATACAGAAGGAAGCGTTTTGAAAATGACGTTTCTTCCGTCTTTCCCATCATTTACTTGTCGTCCTACAACAAGCTAGTCTTTGACAACAATATCAGACATAATGTTTACAGTGGTGAATTATTCATCTTAAGCAAGTCTGGGCATGTGAGCTTTGAGTAGCCGATGAAATGAACCCAACAGTAGCTTTGATAGGGAGAAGAAACAAATAACCAACTTATACATGACTAGTAGTGAAAGAGCTCAAATAAAAATAAACACAAAGCTACTTCCATAATTGTATATGGTCACTATTATTTATATGTACTTTACTACTGCTTTTTTATATGTCTATTCTTATGACTGCATTATAATCCTGCTGTTGTTATACCGTACATTTCCCCGGGACAGGAATCCTTAGACCTGGAGGGTGATATCTTCACGTCTAGACAGGACATACTATTCTATTTTATTTGTACTACTTGCACTATTGTATCCGTTTTATTGTGTTGCACTGCGACCTAAGATTTACATTGTCATAACTGTAGCTTTGTACAAATGACAATAAAAGCCTTGAAACTATTTAAGTCACGCAGTTAAAGCACATCCACTATCGTTTCCCTATCGTTTTATTTCTCACAATCCCATTTAACGTCTCAAACAGTTAGTCAAACGTTCGTAAGTCTCCTCTCAGTCTGAAAATGGAGCACACTGCTCTCTCTCCAGCTCTGGTACAAACTCTCTGCCGAAAACCCTGTGTGGGGCCAGGAAAAGGGAGAGAGGAATGCGAGTCTGCTGATGGTTGCTCCAGGCTGGGAGGAAGGTCGGGACAGAGGGAGGGGAGGATTTAATGAAGGGAACGGCAGAGGAGAAAGAGGAGGGGGGAGGGAGGGAAAGGCAGACAGCTTGGCCCCTCAGCTCTTTGGGAAGACTCGCAGGCTGCTCTGGAAAACACAGGATGTGGGCATGCAGGCGGGGAGAAACGGGCTTAGACATCCCCCCCCAACCCCACCCCCACCCGCCCACACACACACACACACACACTCTCACACACACACACACACACACACAATTCCATTCCCTCCATTCCTCTCTTAACCCTTTCCTGCCTCTCGTGTGAGGGCGTTTGCTCGCGGAGAAACGGCCGACAGTCGAGCTCTCAGCAGACACCTCGTCTCTTAAACTACACCACTTGTATATAGACTCTTATGGCACTACCTCTATTCTATTTTATTGTATTTACTTGCACTTTTTTATCTGTTTTATTGTGTTGCACTGTTGGAGGAGCCTGTGACCTAAGATTTTCATCGACATAACTACACTGTAGCTATGTACGAATGACAATAAAAGCCTTGAAACTTAAATATCACGTAAAGAGTTCCTTTTTTTATCGGGAGGAATTATTAAGAGGTATCCAGTTTACACAGCAACGTGTCAGTTTCTACACAAACACCCTTCTGAAAATGTGAAGGTTAATGTGTTTCTTACAGAACAGCATGTGCCGTACTGTCCGGCCTCGATATGGAGACGAATGCCGTCCAAATGAGGACCGAAAATGAGTTGGGGTCAGAGTTAACTCATTATCAGGGGAAGCACTCTGTGTTTTATTACCTGATGATGCTACTTGGTGAACAACAAATATGCGATGACATCAGAGCGAGTAACGTTGGCTGATAGGTTAAAGGAGGCTTCATAGAGTTTAATTACGAAGCGTTCAAGCTTTATTCAGTCTAAATGATTACATGAAGGTTGTAAAAACCAAGTACTTACTTATCTACCTGAATGTGTACTTCTGTAGATTGCAAACATGTGTATTTTAAATACCATGTGAATTCCTTTTTATATTATAGTGTTCAATTTTCTTCATCTCTTTCTATACTAATACTGTAACAACTTACATTTCCTTGTTGTGGGACGAATAAAGGCATTCTGATTTGAGGAAGGGTCATGTTTGGATCAGGTATTTACGGTGTGTCCTTTCCTCTGATTGGGTGTGTCTGACCCCAAAAGTGCATATTGTTTTTGACTGCGAGTGTGTGCAACGATTGTTTGTTTGGGAAATGATTTGCATATTGATGTATATGGACAATAAATGGGTTGTATTAAACTGCAACTGGAAATAAGCCATTGAGTCTACTGGGTTTCTATTGAAGTCAGTTTGTATACACAGCCCACAGATTCTCCTATCCACCCTCACACATGTGGAAACAAAAAACAGCCAATTTAAAATACTGTTTGATGATTTTAGCTCATCACTCAACACAATATCCTCCATACAACTCAGCACCCTGTGTTGAGTATCACACTCTGCAGTTAATAGTCTGAATATTTTTAACTTCTTCAACTTGGTGGTCCAACGTTCTCCACTCTACTGCTGAATAAAGGAGCACCCCAGGGCTATATGCTCGGCCCGGTGCTGTTCACAGTGTACACATGAGCCCTCAACATCAACAAGTCTGTTATTAAGTTAAGGTATGACACTGCAACCATTAGACTTCATTTAGAAAGGAAATAAACAATCTTGCAGATCAGAGAACAATTTACTGCTCACTTATGCAAAATAAAAGGGTTGATTGTTGCTTTTAGAAAAAGACGAGGAGACTAACGCCTGTCTTCTTTATGGTGCTTTGGTAGATCAAGTTTGAAGCTCCCAGAAAAAAACGAATAAGAGACAATAACAACCAGACATCACATGTCAAAATTCCCCTGGCAAGGTTCTTGTTAACTTTTACAAAGGAGTGATAGGAAGCATCCTAACTGGGAACAGTACAACCTGGTCTGGGATTTGCACCGGCCTGTAGCGAGGGATTAAAGAGGCCAGAACACCATTGTGGTCGAATGTACTTATTGTAAGTTGCTTTGGATAAAAGCGTCAGCTAAATGTAATGTAATGTAATTGTGACTAATCTACAGAGCATCAGTGATGTTGGAGAAGAGATACAAGACTACTGGAGCATCAGACTACAGGACAGTATGTGTCCTCAGCTCCTAAACTCATCTTCCTTACAACACCACTACAAAAGGGTTCATATGGAGCACAATAGGACTATAAAACAACAATAAAACAACTGTATAAACAACACCATGCTGTACAAAGACTATTAATTATTAATGTATATTGTATTATTAACAGCTGTCTAGTTTTTATTAGAAAATCTCGGTATGTCAACATGCTAAACTAAGGTGCTAAACTAAGGGGCTAAACATGCGAACATTATATATATATCTATATATCTATTTATCTATCCATCCATCCATCTACCTATCTATATATATATTATAAATCCATTTTTATGCAAGAAGGCACCGTGCTAAGTGGAAGCCTGTGGCAGCAGCTAATGGAGTGTGTATTGATAATAAGAATTAATTACATGTATTTAGCGCATTACTAAGTACTATAATACTACTCACATTACAAAAGTTAAATGTCCTAGTATATTGTGATATATTGAGTATTGAGTTTCTTTTTTTCTTTAGATACTCTACAGATATTTATCTTTCTACTGTTGATATTTACATATTTACTTTTTATTTAATTATATTTTTATTTGATTTTTAACTCACGTACAAAGCCTTGTAAACATTCTGCTGTAACGAAACAATTTCCCAGTTTGGGTTCAATGAAGTATTCCTAATATAACCTATAATAAGCTTGTTAGCCTGCTGACATTAGCATTTAACTCAAAGCCAAGCACAGCCTCACAGTGCTGCTAGCACGGCTTTAGACTCTTAGTTTTGTTTTTAAACCTGCAGTAAAAACTCATGGAAAAAAATCTACTACAGGCTTTGCCAAATGTCCTTTGGTGGAACCATGAGAGTAGATCATAGCATTTCAGACAGGAGTGTATGGTACAAACAAATGACTAGATAATGCATCAATAACTATAAACTAAATATGTAATATATATTATTCTGAAATGGAAAATGGAGTACTTTCAGTGCTATAAGTATATTTTGATGCTCATACTTTTGTACTTTTAACATTCTGAGTGTTGGACTTTTACTAGTATGTCTACACTCTGGTACTTCTACAAACTCTGCTTCAAATCTACAAATTAAATATATTGTACGTCTGTCATTCATGGGAGAGGGATGAAGTAAAAATGTGTCATGATGACTTGAATTTTGTGTCATTGTTGATCAAATGTATGTTTTAAAACCTGCGTTGCCACAACAAATCCATCAGACTGTTGATTCCCTGATGGATTTGAGTGATCAGTAAAGGATGAGGGAGGAAGAAGCAGGCGTACCTCGGCCTTGTACATTCGGATCAGACCCTGGTTGACTTTGGACCAGGAAGGAACAGCGCTGATGTTCCACAGCTGGTTCGAGTGTTCTGCAAACGGACCCGTCTTCATCTACAGGAACAGAGAGAGGAACACAGATGATGGTGATGATGTGAAAGAGAGAGAAAGTAGACCCCTTTATCAGGATGTAAAGTATAGAGGAGCACTTGAGCTGACAACAAATAACACAGGATGTCATTTTGAAGCTGAACCCAAAAGCGCCCCCAATGTTTGGAAATGCAACTTAATTGTCTTTTTTCTGCCTTAAAAACATAATTAGCTCTTTTATCATTTTTTTTTTGTTCTGCTGAAAAAATAAGCTTTAAAGGAAATTCACGAAAGAAAGAATGGATGAGACGAAAACAATAAAAAAAAGTTGACTGTTCTTATTCACCTTTTAAATGAAAACAAACTACAACATAACCCAGTGATCAGGGGCGGTTCTAGGGGGGGGGGGGCCAGTGCCACTACATTTTTTTTTAAATGTATATTTTCTGGTACTCGGTTTGCCAAAAACCGCAGGATTTTGTTGCTGTAATGTGAGATTGTGCAGACACCCTTATGTAAAGTAGAGATGTAACTGTTCATTGCCTTTATTTTTATATAAATATGGTGTGAGTGCAAACATTGCACTATAACTTAAGCTGAAGCTAACAGTAATGACTATAAGATCTATCTGAAATAAATAAGTGTACTGAAACAAATACCAATAACTGTATTGCATTGTTTTCTATGCGCAATTACTTCATACTGTCTAGTTCTCTTTTTCGTCCTGCATTTATTGTGCCCCCCTCAGAAAATAACTGGCCCCCCAGTGGCCCCCCCAGTCAAATTGGTCTAGAACCGCCACTGCCAGTGATGTTACATTTATTACAGCTTACTCAATGTAGTGCTACCTTTCCCCCATTTCCCTCCATGTTCCCTGTTACTGTTCTTTTGTAAAGAATATTTTATGATTTGTAAGGTCATCTTGGGTACTTTGAAAGGCGCCTCTAAATAAAATGTATTATCACTACTCTGCTTTCTGATACATTTGGTAATAACTAACTAATCATTATTATTATGTTGTTTATTGCTAGTGTCTTAATTTCTCTTATGTATAATGCCTTATTTTTTATGCTGCTGCAACGCAAACATTTCCAAAATTGGGATCAATAAAGTACTTCTTATCTATGCATCCATCCATCCATCCATCCATCTACCTACCTACCTACCTATCTATCTATCCATCCATCCGTCCATCCATCCATCTATCTATGCATCTATCCATCCATCTATCTATCCATCTATCCATCCATCTATATATCGACGTCCACCTATCGACATCGAGCTAGCCACCAGCTACCTACCTAGACGATCCCCCAGCTACCAGCGATCTACGATCCAGACATCTATATATCGACCACCGATCATCCTCGAGAGCGACCAGCCAGCCAGCCACGAATCTATATGCGACCTACCATCTATCCATCTATCTATCTATCTATCCATCCATCTATATATCTATATATGTATCTATCTACCTATCTATCCATCTATCTATCCATCTATCCATCCATCTATCCATCTATCCATCCATCTATATATCTACCTATCTACCTATCTACCTACCTATCTATCCATCTATCTATCTATCTATCTATCCATCCATCCATCTATATATCTATATATCTACCCATCTATCCATCTATCTATCCATCCATCTATATATCTACCTATCTACCTATCTATCCATCTATCCATCCATCTATCTACCTATCCATCCATCTATCTACCTATCTATCCATCTATCTATCTATCTATCTACCATCTAGCTATCTATAACAAAAATGCAGAACAAAAGGCTGATTGTTGTTCCAGCCATCACCTAAATAACATGAATACATTCTGGATTCAACAACAAGGACCGTGACAAACAAATAAGAGAGTAAACAGAGCAAACAGTAAACAGAACAATAGTGAGACTGATAAAAAAAATTCATAAATGTATGAATGAAGACTATAGACTGTTTTCCCACCATTTTCCCCAAAAGGCAGGGGAGCCCAAACCCAGACCCTGAGGCATCAAATTAACAACCCCCTCCTTTTTCCACCCCCCCCCCCCCCCCCCCCCACTCACACTGCTCTAGACACTTTCCAGGGCCTCACATGAGGAACACATGGGGGAAGGGCCTGAAAAGGGAGGGAAAAGGGGGGGTGGAGACAGACCCTATTCCCCTGAGGAAGGAGTGATTCACAGCAGCATGTGGGGAAGGAAGTGACTCATGTTTAGGACAGAGCGCACACACACACACACTCTCTCTCTCACAACACACACACTAGAGCCTTGTGTGCAAATCAAAAAAAGAACATGAGTTTGAAGTATCCACATGTGTGTGAATACGAGGGAAATACGTGGAAACCTGAGTGTTATCGTTCCGTTTCATAAACCAAATTGAAAGAAATACATGTTTTTTTTAAACCAGTTTAGCCCTCAGAGAAATGATGAAGTAACTAGTGATACTATGGTAACCCACCGTTGTTGTTCACATTGTAAACAGACACTCACTAGCCAATCAGAAGCCTTGTAAATACTACACACAGCTAAATGTATTATAGCTTGTTTCGACTACTTTCAATCCAACATACTATTTCTTTTAATGGGATTTTAGCTAGTTTGCACAACAAGAATGATGGCAGGTTTGGGAACAATATTGAATTACAGTTTTGATAATCTGTGGTTTTAGAGTGCAAGCCTAATTACACCAGCATTTAAAACAGTATGGAGATTTGAATCCAGAGAGTCCAAATTAACTGTTCTGCACCATCCGCCAACTTCCCGTCGGAGTATGAGCTGCTCCACGTAACTGGTGACCGTTTTGAGACACGAGTACAAACATGTCTATAAATTAACTGTGTGAACCTGTTGGAGTGTTTGTGAACAAAGCAGTCGAGCTATCCAACAAGTAGCAACGGTGATCGACAAATATAATGGGGATGGGAGAGGTTGACCAGAAAACGGGAGAGTTTCTTGTAATTGTTTTAGCTTGACATTTCACCCACTTCTCCAGTATAGCCACAACTCGCCGAGAACCAGTCATTTTCAGAAACATAGCAGATTTATTTTTGGTGTGCCGCTTTCTGGAGGCCTAAACTGTGTTTTAAAACCAAATGAGCCGAATACCAAAACACTCCATGTGTCCTTCTGATATAAACACAGCACCCAATACATAAACACAATTACAGATACAAAGGGGAAAAGCCCCGAGTAGGAAAGGGTTGACAACAGATGCAAAGCTTGGGGCCTGTTTTGATGTTACTCACGATATTTCTGTCATGGAGAAACAGACATTTATTGTGAGTTTAAGGATTGTTGGGCTTCACTGGTTGAAGGCATATCTACAGTTAGATCGGACTTCACCTGAATCACACAATACAAACCCTAACCCTAACCCTAACTACGTGCAATACATACACTTCTTTTAGCAACTGTGCAATAACCATAATCCTTTTTAGTAACTCAAACCTTAATATGTTCACTTACCTAAATGCTGCAACTAGACATGCACAAGTACTTAGCTGTCTCTATGTTTAACATGTTAGCTACGTTATTATCGCTTGACTTTAATCTGCTATTTCCCCGCTGCGCGACTAATAAAATAATTCTGATTCTGATCATGATTTTTCGCACTGAAATCACTGAATCCGAAACTAAATTATCAAAAATATTGTCAGGTTTTTAAGACGTTATAAATACTGTGAGTAATGGGTGAGGAGAACGACAACAGCAGCAGCATCCCTTCATGAGCTTGAGGAGGGAGGAGGAGGAGGAGGTGGAGGGGGGAGAGGAGGAGGGGGAGGGAGGAGGAGGGGGAGGGAGGAGGAGGGAGGGAGGAGGAGGAGGAAAACGGGGAAGGAGGTGGTGCTTCTGAGTGGGAAGGAGGAAAAGGATGTAGCTGCTCCAACAACGCCCTCCTCTACTTCCCTCCCCTCCCCTCCTTTTCCTTCCAAATCCAAAAACAAAGCGCATGGTTCCTGCTCTGGCCCTCTGCCAACAATCCATCTGCCTGCCCTCATCTCCCTCATCTTCCTCAGACAAAGCTCATGTGGACCAACTCACTTACAGCATCAGCACAAGATATCAACTCTGTCTACTTAAATGACACATTAATATGTTCTTTGATAAATTATTCCCCAGGAAAACAATACACTAAGATCTTTTAAAAACCCATCTGAACAAAGTGGCAGAGTTCAACCACGCAGTCTTGGTAGTGTCCATTAGGGGGCAGTACTACATGTCTGTTGCAATGCAGAATTAACAGATTGCATACAATCATCCTTTGGTGTATAGCTAAGGGGATAAGGCCTCTTCACGTCACGGCATCTTCCAACAGACAAGAAAAGTGCAGTTTCATTCACATTGTTGAATCAGAGCTGCTAGTTAGCCACACACACACACACACACACACACACACACACACACACACACACACACACACACACACACACACACACACACACACACACACACACACACACACACACACACACACACACACCACACACACACACACACACACACACACACACACACACACACACACACACACACACACACACACACACACACACACACACACACACACACACACACACACACACACACACACACACACACACACACACACACACACACACACACACACACACACACACACACACCAGCTTTACTGCTACACCAGAGAAGGTACAGTAACACCGAGCATCGAGGTCAAAGACAGTTATGTATCACGCAGGTCACGTTAACCGAATATTTTCCGTCTATGACGGATTTTTTTTAACAATGACGGACAAATCTGAAAGCAGTCCGTCATTTTGACAGATTAGAACAAACTCGGAACAGCGCGAAAGTTTCCCCGCAGCGAGGCTCCGGTGTTATGCCGTGTTATGCATGCCCTCCAAAAAGGAAATTATAACTGCCGTACAAATCATTGAAATGTCTGTGAGTGTTGGCTTTACGCTGTGCACGCTCCCGCGAGGTGCAGCAGCCATGCATAACACGGCGCATGTGAACTGTCCCTCCCCCCCCCGTTGACAGTTCATGAGCATGCTTCTCCCCCCCCTCGTCAGAGTTGTGTAAAGGCCGACGGGTAATTCTGGATTTTGACGGAAGTTTTACGATCCTGTCCGTCAAAATGATGGGCAGCGAAAAAGTCTAGCGCAACCTCTGGTATCACGTCAGAACTTTCGTCCCCCGTCTCTCGGTATGTATAATAGGTCGCCATTGTCAGTATGTGCGCCTGTGTATTGTGTTTTCTTCAAAAAGTGTGTGAGTGATGATATGTGTATGTATTCTAATGTTTATTATATTTGTATGTGTACATGTATGCGGAACTGCAGGACGGAGAACACATTTCCTTAGGGCAGTGTTTCTCAAACTTGTTCATACCAAGGTCCACTTAACCAAAAAAAAAACACTCGGACCACCTAACTCCACAAATATAAAAAAACAAATCGTTTTTCTAGAACAGATTACAAATCGCCTGAAAATGGTACAAACAAGTGGCAACATGTGTGACGAAGGTGTTGTGCTGGGCTATATCATGCAATCGAAACTTAAGCTCGCTTCATTGCGGAGATATTCCCGCGAGAGTGCGGAAAACTTAAATGTATTTATTTATTTCAAATGTGAAATGTTACCAATATACTCACGGACCACTAGGGGGCGCTCACGGTCCACCAGTGGCCCGCGGACCACACTTTGAGAAGCACTGCCTTAGGGGGACAATAAAGTATATCGTATCGTAAAAGTGTTGCACTCAGCCAACACTAGGATGTGCTTCTGCCACTCTTTGGTTGGGAAGTGAGTCCACATGATAATTACAGACAGTCTCCACACCATTATCCCAAAAGCTACAATCTCTCTGGCCTTATGTCAAGCATTTTTGACATACACTACAGATTCAACACAGTTTTTCTCAAACATAGGTTAAGAAAGATCTATGCTCCTCATCAGGATGGCCCTAGTTAGTTTACACTTCCTTTATTTCTACACCACCTCTTGAATGATGTCAACAACAGCCCCATTGTGTTATTTACAATTCTGTCAATATCACATAAAGACATTTCTGTTCCAGTGAAACAGCGCCCCCACCAGGGCATCAGTGACGAGGCAGGCAGTGAGTGCTTTCTGAGCAAACAAACATATTTGGGAAACTCAATGTGATGATTAGGGGATTAATTTGTATTCCTCACCTCGTTTATGAACTTGATGCACTCCAGAAACATGTATTCGTGCTGCTGCTCGTCCACCACCCTCTCCTCGAGGAAGTGCCGAGGCTCCAGAGTTGGGTGATCTGAAGGGAGAAGGAGCTGTAAGTGCACTTGTTTACCACCAGGTGTCACCATTTACCTGCCTTTAACTAGACTCAACACAATGGAGACGTGCAGTCATGATGTGGACTCAGACCTGCACCTTCAACCATTCAACAGCAGAACCAGAACTGCAGCGCTGACTTCAGATCAGCACAGCAGTCTTTCAGTTGTCTTTTGGACATTTGATTTCCATTTTGATTGCGATTTATGTGCATATCTAACTAAAGTCTTTGTTGTCTTGTAGAGCAACATGAACTGTACAACCCAGACAAATTCATACAAAGGATTTGGCATCATTTCCAGAGAAGGTTTTGAGGATAATCACACTTGTTGATGTTGTAGAAAAGGCGTTCATATACAGATACCAGCAAGCAGAGAGCACATTAACAAGGGCAGGCAACAGTAAAGATGTGTGTCTTGTTGTCGACAGTGAATTTGGTTGGTAAAGCTTGTTAAGATACTGGTCATTGGTTTTAATTAGTGCACAAGCACCAATGTGCAAGGGGCTCAAAGGTGTCCCTGACAGTGTCAAATATATGTGACATTAAATTACGAAGGAATATTTGTTAGCTCAAACGATAAGGTCAAAGAAAACACAATGTTTGACAACTAGTGCTGCAGATAGCTGTAACGATCTTACACAAGTGGATACAAGCACCAACCTTTCATCCCTTTGGTGTCATTTATTTTAAAAAGCATAATGACCACTTCAATTTACAAATG